AGCCGTTCTTCTTACGACGGAAGCAGAACAAGTATCGCGTGTAACATCCTGTAACGGCCCGAAAGCCAACCTGAAAGTCATTTTGGGAGCATGTGTCACACTCAGTTTTGCTTTCCGGTCTACTGGTAAAAGGAAATGGATTGAAGAGCTCCATGCGGATGATGCACGTGCCATGCAGAATCGTGAGCTGTCCCAAACGTGATAAAAAATTTGAGGATATAGAGGCATCAGGCAGGCGGAATTGCGGTAGTATCAGTGAGGATAGGCAAAACTTTTCGAATTCTTGACTCGGTAAGGAGTTTAGGTTAGTGCTACTGCTATTACCCGTAGGGCCATGCCTTACCGGCACTGCCGTTTTCCTGTCCGCAGGCGTTGAGCTGTTACTTGCAGCACTAATGTGGGAATTCCGATTTTTATTATATACCGGTGATAAAGGATGCGCCTCATCGTCGTCCGACAGCTCCGTAAGATTGGCGCAGGTGTGTTTGAGGAAAACTTGAACCTCTTCATCATCACAGTATGGTGTGAGGCGGACAAACTCGTCCAAAAGTCCATTTCCATTGGGTTGCACCTCACAGGGATAGAGAAGAGCCTCAGCTCTCTTGATGAGATCGGGGGTAGGCATTTCGATTTCCCTGCCCCTGTCATTCAAAATGATAGGGGCCCTCTCGCCCTCTATTAGCTCTTCCTCTACAGGGATGTGGGTCCTAGCCGCGTTCGCTTCTTTCCCACTTTCAGAGGATGCCTTCGCCACTATACCTTTTCCACAATGGATTGCATTTGCAGCATCCGCATTCCTCACTTCACGTACCCACATTTGGAAAAACGCCGAGTCTTTGGGGGAATCACAGCTCATGAATTCCTTGAGCATGCGTTCTACTTGAATAAAAGAAGCATCTACTACACCGTCTGTATTGCTCTCCGTCACGGTGAGGCTGGTTATACTTCTTCCCACCTGCCAACATCGGTCAGTGGCACTAACTGCGCGAGCGTCTTTCTTCTCATCAGTGAGTGTGGTTAACATATCGGTAATGTGAGCGTCGTTGTCTGATTCAACGTGCCCCTGCCTAAAATAAGGTACTTTGCTGCGTCGTGAGTGTTGCGCTAAGTATGCACACCAAATTGATAGGAATTTGGAAAACTGTGCGTCGCGAGAGTTATGATACTCTGTTAGAAGGTTACGCGGGTGAGCGTTGAATCTGCGCACATAGTTTACATATTCCACACAATCTCGGACATGTAGTTCTACTTCTGATGATATTATTTCTTGCATTGATGGTAAAAGCGCATTGAAATACATGATTGCAAAATGGGAAATGAGACTCTGTATGACATGTTGTTTTTGATCGCCAAGCCATCTGAGGTAGGCCGTAACATCAGGGCTCATACGCTCTCTAGGACCAGCTGAATGACACTTGTTAATCCCAACACCTTCCTTGGCATGCTTTCTCTCTAAGTTATGTGAATTAGCATTTTCATTGTGACCCTCGGGATGATGTATCGAGACAACAGCAGGACTCGGGTTGCACTCATGTAACGTATCTGGGTGCACATCACTCGTGTTAAACTCTTTAGCTTCTCGATACAAAGTCTGTGTGTGTATTGCTTTGCTAACCTTTTTGTACTCACATGCGAGTTGATTGAGAAATTGTATCTTTCTCCACCGCACACAATGCCAGAGGTGCTTTTGCTTGTTGAACACTTTTTCTACTTGAGAGAGCAGTAGTTTGGTGACGACACTGATGAAAAAGGGTAATCGATCTTCCTTCTTCGACTTTGCAAATTTTGATACAGCATCACCTTCGTATTCTATTAACCACCCATTAGAACACATAAATATCCCGAACATTGGAAAATCTTTGTCGTATCCTTTTATGCCTGCATCATCTTCCTCTCTATAAATACCTGTAAGTTTGCAGGCGTAAACTCTGAAATAGACATCGAGTTCATACCATTTGAAGAAAAGGGAATTGATATGATACAGGAATGACTCATAAAGACTCATGTTCATATATTGTGCGTTAGACTGCATGCATTCTAAACGTCCTTGTGTTAGCTTGCGAAGGCGCAGTGTCTGAAGAGTGAGACATATTAACGTTATGTTTAATAGTCCATAAAGAACATTATACATGAAGGCACATTCAATTTTTCATCTAGTTGTTATCGATGATGTGTCCTAAGAGACCTTTGAGATCTAGCGGGATCACATTAATATTTTTTCAGCAGAAAGCTGTATCTAGTTAACACGAAAGTAAGGTGTTTTGAAACAATTCATAAAAAAATTCCGAGATAGCTTAAGAGTTTTTTGCCTAATAAAAAGTATTTCCAGACACAAGCTTGCGATGTTATCGCCATAAAGGTCTAGTATAAATATAGAATATCTGTTCTATCAAGCGGATGTTTATCTAAAATTATCGAAATGGGAAAAAATTTATTTGTGTATCACGCGCAGCGAAGTTCTTTCGAAATAAATATGTTGTATTGAGCAGGTAATAATAATAATAATAAGACAATAATAAAAAATATCAATGAACAAAGTACTCACATCAGGTATTATATTCGCTGCGAGGGATGAAAATAGGGAAGTATTTTAGGAGTTGAAGGAGAGAAAAGTGTATTCTTGAAATGGAACGACTTTTTGTCATCCATAATGGGGGTAGGTGCTGTTCCGAAAAGTCATAGATGCACAAAACGGGTTTTAACAACTAGCAAGCCCAAAGCACACCGGGAAGCAGACGTAGACCAAAAAAATTGCATTAGCCCTTCTTAAGAAGCATGATTCTATTGAAAAATCTTTTAGTTTCTCTTATTTTGATAACACTTCAATCCTGTTCAAAGGATAGAGACCCTCCACGAGTGTGTACGCTTGGGATATCTGTGAGATAAGGTTTGGTGCCAGCGCAAGTATCTCATTGCTTCTCATTTAGGAAGGGAGGAGCTCAACGATGGAAGGCCGTCCGTGCGCACAAATATAGTATTCGCGCACACAGGATAGGTCTCGTACTAGTTGCTGTGCTGCATTCGGAGATAGGGGATCACCAAACATGATAGCCCCGCGGCAGGAACGCGATATGAAGAATTTTAAAATCGATGAGGGAATGATTCGACGCGGTGATGAGATATGCGACCGCTCCGTTTTACTCTCTTGGTGTGTGCTTGATGAAAGGTCGAGACGTGCGTCAACAGTCGTTAGTCCCATGGCGAGTAGCTCCTCCGTCATAAGCTGCAATTCTTCAATTGAGTCAAGACGCAGGGTGAAGCCTTCTAGTTCGAGGTGCGGCCAATGACGCACTGCCGTCGGGGGCGGCCGCTGACATTTCGCATTCCGTGCTGTTATTTTACTTTCTGTGTGATACCAAAAACGCCATCCCCAGCGCAGGAGCTCATGTTCACACATAGCCACGAGGGGGATGAGACTGTCGTGAATAGGAACCACTAGCACTGACATCGCTTCTTTCACCTCGGGAATATAAACACTCCCTGTCGTTTTACTATTGTTCATCATCAACGGCTGTTCGTTACTTTCCCGAGGTTGTTCTCGAAAACGTTCTTGCTGAAACGGTTCTGCAGCCGTCCGATGTGAGTGGCGGATAGGAGGGGGTATGCGATACACATCCTTGTGTGTAATACTGGAAAGGTGAAGGCTACTACCTTGGAGATTCTTGCTGCTGTTGGCTGCGACTAGCTCTACTGCGGGCGTATCACAAACGAAGGCTTCAGCAAAGGCGCAGAAGTACTCCAGGCGAATACGTTCATGAATGGCATGCTGATCAAGAAGCATCCATGTTTGCCCTTTGTGGCCTGGAATGCCTGTTTTTTCCACGGTGGATGCATCGTTTCCTGCAAGGACACCATGCTCGTGGTGTGGCTTTCCATTCACCGCCACGGCGCTTGGCCCAACTTGCGGTATTCGCTGAAGATAGTAGGTATGCACCAATCGATCCCGGAGTATCTGTTTGTGTTTCTTTTCCAAATCGCATGTTTTCATCGTGGCCGTCTGGGCAGCCATTTCCATTGTCATTGGATGACTGTACTGCTCTACACATCCAGAGGTAGAATTCCTTTCTCCGCATTCAGTTATTTCTCCGTCTTTCAGAATAATTAGGATAAATTTTCGATCCCACTGCTGCACCACTACACTGGAGTCCGGGTGTTGAGACTTATCACCACTACCAGCCACCTTCAACCATCGTCGTTGCTGGCGTTCACGCGTAGCGGCTGCGTCTGTGAGGGGTGGTAAGAAGTGAGATATTTCACCCCCTGGAGAGTCATTTGGCCTCGATTCAAGTATCCATGAGGTTGGTCTTTGTTTCACAGTATCCGGCATCCACGCACGCGGAATCGGGTGAAAAGCCCTTGGAAGTGCCCAGAGAGGGTTGCCGGTGCGAAAGGGTTTGTTCGCATCCTTACCGCATAATTCTTTTCCATTATCACTCTTGATAGCTTGGCTCTTCCTAGAAATTTGGTCGGACTCGTCCACATCATGCGTACTACAATTTAAATAGTCAGGCTCATTCGAAAAATTTTGCAAATCTGTTGATGGCGAAAGGCTGACCTGACGTAGAACCCGCCGCAAACCACGTTGGTACTCTTTCACGTCACCCAGAGGTTTCACCGCAGTCATGCTCTTGACGCGCAACAGAGGGGTGCGTCGTGGGGCAGAGGCGGGGACTGATTTAAGGGTGATCCCTCCACGATTCCTATTACAGATCTTGGTGCTCAGCTTCGGGAAAGAGCCCCCCCTGTACCTTCCACCACGCGGGGCAGTTAGTAATAACCGAATGGCCGGTAGCGGGCAGCGGGAGGGCAGTCGAGAGGCCTCGTGTGCCTCTGTTTCATTTGACTGACTGCTACCTAGGATCGCTGTAGTGGTACCGAACTCTACGGCAGATTCAGAAATGCGGTCCATCACATAGCCAAAGCGCAGCGCATGCGAGGAGGCACCGCCAGGTGAGGGGTCAGTCATGTTTTGATGCATTAGCAGGTACTCAACCCAATCGGCGCCCGAAGAGAGGTCGTGAGAAACACTCGCACCAATTCCTGCATGGGATGTTTCTGTGGTTTCGGAAGATTTCGGCTCACTTCCCTGACGTCCAGGCGTGAGGACCACGTGTTTTCTGGCTTGATTGCGAAGTTCCGTGCGCCGACCGGTGTGTAGGACGCAGCCTCCGACCTGATTCACATCGCTGTTTCTGGTAGTATTACCAGAGAGGCATCGTGCAACGGCGTGATGGTAGAGGACCGCAAAGTCGTCTAATTTCTCAGAGGGGTTTGATGTCAAGCAAGCTGGTCCGTGCTGGGAGAGACACTGGGTAAAGGCGTTGTGCATGCTGCGCTCGACAAGTTCTACATTTGCAAGCACTACAAGGGGAAGCAGGAGGGTCTGCTCATCTGTAGGCTTTTGACAGCTTTGTAGGAGCACTCTGTAGGCCGGATGCGACGAATCTACCGAGTAGAAGATATCATTTGCTCCATCAAATGAGGAGGAGGACTCCAGCGACAATACGGTGCTTTGACTTAGGTTACGCGTGGGAGCAGCTGCCACAATGAGTGGGCTTGGCATCGATCCTTCCATCCTTGACGTCGACGAAATAGTAGAGAACCAGTTCTTTCGTTTAGATTGCTTTGGATAATTGAGGAAGAGAACACACAGAATACGCTGCGCGGTATCCTCAACGGCAGCAACTCGCAGAATTGCTTCGTTAAGGTCATGTCCAACGCGCCGCGCGGGTGCGTTTTCCTTACCTATTTTGGCAAATTCCAACCTTGGCTCTGGTACCTCTTTCATGTCTGCGAGACCACTTCCCCGATAGGAGCTGTCGTGCTGGATACAAAACTTCCCTTTTCCTTCCAGATCGCAATGTACTCGACCAGTACGCACTCCTTCGCTAACTGTTTCGTTGTAGGGTATGGCTACGCTCAGAGAGGGATAAAAAGTCCGCCATATACGAACTGCTAGTCGCAGAAGGCATTCTTTGACAGCTTGCTCGTCGTTGAAGTCATTAGGGAGCGAGTTCACAACCACAATAACCTGAGGAGACGAAAGTAGTGGGGATGATACAGTAGGATTCATGTAATCATTTTTTTTGGGTATCGCTGCGACATAATGGTGGCCGAACCCTGAATAGTTCTTTGTTGTGTTATCCACAAGAAAATTCACCCCACTATCCTTCTTTACCATCACAGGTGAAGTTCCTTTGATGTTGAAAGCTGCCCCACAAGGTGGTAGTTCATGTTTTGATGTATAAGCTACGTCTGGGGTGTCGACATCGTCACTCTGAACGACACCCAATCCTTCAAGTTGATCTTGCCTTCTCTTCATTCGTCCACCTTCACCATGCTTCATTGCCGCCGGAGGAGGGGGGCAGTAGTTTGTGTAAAAAGAGAATACTACGCTTGGGGCCGGTTCCGCCTGTTGCAGCTTTGTAGTATCCCAAACCAGGCGCTTTTGCGCCGCCTTCTCTGTCGATCCATGAGGCTTACCGCATAGTTCATGTACGTTGGATTTATTACCGATCCGTGTCTCCAGCTTGCGACAGCACCCTTCTCGATTCCGCTGCACACACAAACTGTAATGCTTACAGAGGGGGGAAAGTAGTACTTCTACAGCTGTGCGGTAGGCAACTTCCCACACCCTATGCTCCTCGCGCAGGCGTACCAGCGTGAAGGCATCCTCTGTTGTATTAGACTGCTTTGGATTCATACTAATACGTCTGGGAGGATTTGCTCCTGGCGACCGACTTCGCGACGAATATTTTGGTAATTTATGTGTGTGTGAGAAGCGTCGCACGTAAGGTGCACGTCGTACAGGAATATTGTAAAAAACATCTTCAATATAACAATATATTTCAACATGGCCTCGGAAGCAACGGCTCGCATCGCGTATCTCGTCTTGAGATATTATACTTAGAAGTGCTCGAGTCAATAGTGAAGGGCTAAGCTCAAGGACGGTGCTTGGGGGCAGAGGATGATTTAATTTTTTTGAGTGGCCGCCTTTGACGGAATCCCAGCCTTTGACCATCGTGTTCCACGATTTAGGGCATTCAGGAGGGCATGTTGCATTTCCATCAGCTAGCGTTGCCACTCCACCACAAGAGGCTAATTTTTCATCTACCCATATCAAGTCTAGCAGCAAGACCGAAGAGTCATGACCGAAGTTAGAAGGGGTCGTCGCGTGCGGGCGGGTAGCTCTAACAGCAGTATTATTAGTGTTTGGTGATGAAATAGGGCGATCTGGGCGAAGGCGGTGCTTCTCGTTGATACCGCTGGTGAGGGGGATGTGGCCACTACACTGTTCCAATGACGTGGGGCCCGTTGCCACCGCTGGGGCACTTGCGCTCAGCGAAGCTCTAACTCCAACCCGACGGCTCACCGCCGCTAGTGCACGAAAGTATTCCAAATCTAGTTTTACTTCATCATCCTTCTGCTCTTCGGCGCAACTGCCGTTCATGTGTGTCGCAGGAGGCTTCCATTCATCGTCGGGACATTCTATCGGAATCAAGTTGTGTATCCGGTTGGCATGAAATGGGAAGGTGAAGGTGCTCTGCACACAGGCATCATGCTTTGCCATATTGGTGAATAGGACGAGCGATTGACTCCAGAAAACAGATGGAATAACGGGATTTGTGTCGCGCTGCGCCTGCCCATTATCACTCTTTTCCCCTGAGGCATCTTGTAGAGGAACTAAAAAGGAAAGTTTTTGTAATACGAAGGCTTTTACAACCTTCGCTTCTTCTGTTAGCTGATGCAGAGCGGCAGAGAAAGTCGGAAACAGATACTCGGCACGTACGTGCAGTGATTCCCTCTCGGAAAGTGCTGTGATCGTTTCATTTTGAAAGTCTTTCATTTTTTCTCCAGGGTATCTATTGACCCCTTCCCGAAGCCACTATGAGAGAGATAAAAGAGAATATTAATAAATTTCGCTACACATGATTATGTAAAATGATAGGGACACGTAGTTCAGTGCTCTATTTATAGGAATAATTATACGTATATATATATAGTTTCAATTCGTATATTTGTTACTTTCATTCGGTTACTAAAATACAAAAATAATTAAAAACGAATGGTAGGTATGAACCAGATAGCACGGGACGCGCCTTTAATATACCTTAAATGACATGTAGTAATAGAGTAAATGTTTCGAACTATACAAGGCGTATACATTCAAAGATGAAGCAATTGAATATGTACATATAAAGCGTGACAATACCAAATGTGTGCAATATAAAGTGTGGTCTAACAATAAATTTTTCCGATTTTATGAAGTTATACGTCACTACGCTATGCTCTGGACAGCATGCAAAGGTGAAAGGTTTAGTAAGGGCAAATTTCTCTCCATAATATTATGGCAAGAAGAATGCTTAAGTTATTAGGAATATTAATTGACGGTTCAGAAAAATACATAAAAGTATAATGATCTCGTGAGAATTACACTGACAAGGCAAGCCACGATGGGGCCCCTTTTTCAAAACTCATCAAAATAAACGTGAATATAAACCAAAAATTAGTGAATTTGTTTGAAAAAAAAATAGGGAAAGAATATAAAGGAAATGTAATTTATGAAGTGATAAAAGAAAGTGATGAATTTCTATATGCATTAAAAAGTTAAGCATATAATATTATTCTTGTTTCTGTTCGTATATCGCTTCACACGTCGGTTGGGATATCGCTCCACGTGTTGGTTCGTATATCGCTTCACACGTCGGTTGGCATATCGCTCCACGTGTTGGTTCGTATATCGCTTCAC